ATATTATTAAAAAAAATTTATTTAAATATATTAAAATTTAAAAAAAGTAAATCATAACAATATTTATGATAATTTTCCAGTCAAATTTGACTGGAAGAGCCTACAGTTTAAGGGATAATACTTAAAATTGTCCAACTAAAAAAAATTTTAAATCACGTAATTAATTAAATTGTCATAGACAAAGCAATGATTGTGTATTTATTTAATTTCAATTACATTGTCAATTACATATACTATTAAGCATTAATTATTTAGTATTTTAACTTACGGCATTAAACTAATATTAATGCTTATATTATTGCAATTTTCAATCGTGATATTAGGAATCTTTGCTTTCTTATACTTCATATTAAAATTAGCTTTATCGTCAGATTCAGCTTTAGATTTATATTTAGCTTTGAACTTGTTATCAATAGCTTCGAGTTCATCATCGATTTTAGCTTTGCTAAATTTACTAAAAAGTAAATCAAATGCTTTAGAAAATCTGTTATTAATATAATTGATAGTTGAATCCTTTAATGTTATATGAGAGTTGGGTTCTAAAAAAAATAAAAATCATATAAATAAATTATAAATCACTACTATATATAATAATACTGTTTTACCCGCTTCTTTAACTGGAATTAAAAGAGAAACATTATTTCATTTTTGTTTTAATGATTGATGTTAATAAGCTGAAACTCCTGCAATAGTTTTGTGCTGAGAAAAAATCATTTGTTCATTCAATATAACATCTAATTCTACAAGATTATGAATACTCATAGATCACATAGAATGATTAGTAATACAACGACTTTTAAAATCTAGTTTAGCATCTTTACAAATGCTTTGCATCATAGTGTTATGTGATCTTTTTCCCAATTTTGATGTTAAATACCAATCGCCATGATATATGTTTTTAGGTGCATTAATAGAAACTAAAAAATAATCATCATCAACATTATTTGGTCATTTGGATAAGTATCTTCGAATATCTGTAACTGGTGTATAAGCATTTCCTAGAATATCAGGTGGTATTAAACTTTTTCCAGATTCAGCATATGGATCTTTGATCCCCTCTGCATGGTTCTTTTCTTTGGATAATTCAAGCTGCATGTCATCATCATCAAGTTCTTTAAGCCAAGATGCTTTTAACCATTTTGCATCTCCACCTCTTAAGCAGCATAATAAGGTTAACCAGATCTAAACTCTTCATATAAGGCCTTTTGGATTATCAACAGCCACAGCAGATGAATTAAGCATAAACTTAATTTTGTCAATCTCTAATGGACTAAATTGCTTACGATTTTTATCACCATCATTGACAAGCGATTTCATACAGTCATCGAGTGTTCTATGTAAACTTTTGAATTGATGTTTATCAAACAAGTTAATAACCCGTGTCTTTTCAAACATTTCAGAAATTCCTCGAGCTAAAGCACAAAATCCAGTATAAAACGATGTTGCTTTATACTCTTGGCCATTCGATTTTCTTACTTCAACAATAAATTGTTCTAGTTGATCTGATAATGTCTTGTTGTCTAATTTAATAATTTCATCTGAATAATTGCATAGTTCACAAAACTTTGTGAAAATAGACATCCAAACATTTCTTGAATTGTCCATATTTATGTTTCTTGACGCTTGTTAAAATTCAGAAATTACTTCCTTGGTTGTTGAAACAAATCATGCATCAGTTTTTGACTTTTTTTTATTTAGTTAAAATAGAAGAATTTAATAAAGAAAAAACAATATTTAGTAAAAGAAAAGATTTGGGTGAAAGAAAAGGTTTAGATAAAAGAGAAGATTTAACGAAAGAAAAGGTTTAGATAAAAGAGAAGATTTAACGAAAGAAAAGGTATTGCTAAAATGATCATTATAAATAGTTAATTACATGTTAAATCATGATGACATGTAGTCAGATGAACATCTAGTGACACGCTCCTGGGGATTACCTATTTATTTCCTGGGGGAAAATTATAGCAGAGGTTTACCGATGATCATATCACGTGGGATGGCCCTTCGGGCCATCCCACGTGATATGATCATCGGTAAACCTCTGCTATAATTTCTACCCCCCCAGGAAATAAATAATACTAATTTATTTATATCAATTTATACTTATAGAAATATTATAAATAAATTTATTTTTAATTTTATTAATTTTATTTATTATTTTTTTATTAATTTATGTTATCTTTGTCATTTCATAACCTTTTGTCAGTTTATATTTTGCCAGCTTTGTCACATTTTGCACTTTTGTTATTTTAAAAATTTTTGGACAAGACAAAACCTAGCTAAGACTTTTGTTGTTTAACAACATTAGCTGTCGTGTAAAAAAATGATTGTCAGGGAAATTAAGTGGCATAAGTGGCATAAGTGGCATAAGTGGCATAAGTGGCATAAGTGGCATAAGTTCGATAAGTGACATCTGATGGGCATATATTAATTTCCCCGACAATCATTTACCCGACACCTTTTTCGCTGACGGCCATTTCACTGACAACCTATTTTCCCGACAGCCTATGGCACTTATGGCACTTATGGAATTATGGCCCTTATACCACTTATGCCTTTTATGCCGCTTACCGCCCGTTCACCTTTTCTGGTCTAGCATTCTTCTCCTTGCATTAAAGCCTCCACTATTCAATCATTTCGCACATGAAAAAGAATATAATCAAAGTCCATAGCATTATTGTCGCATCTTTGATTCCCCACTCATTGACACGGTCTCACTCTAAACTCGACAAGGTAATATTACCTTGCCAGATGTCAATCAGAAAAGGTAAGCGGCTTGATTCCAAGATCGTTAGCGTCATTAATTTCAATGGTGGCTTTGCGCATTCGGATGCAGGAGATCGTCGTTTCACGTATATAGGATAACTTTCTTCTGATTGGTCAATCGCTTTCAATTGTATTTATACAGTTTAAAGTACTTTTTAAGA